CAAAATTTTTTCCCAGTCAGTAGGTTCTCTTTTGACTCTTTTGGAGGAGTCTTTTGTTGAGCGTAAGAGTTTAATTTTTACAAGGACCCATTTATCTAGTTCATCTTCTTCTCTGTGTGCATTTTTAGTTATGTGTGTTTTTTTTATGCCATATATTAGGGTCCCTAACATTGTCCCTATTTTTTCTTCCATAATCTTTATAGTTTTGGGCTTTATATTTAGGTCTTTGATCCATTTTGAGTTAGTTTTTATGTATGGTGTGAGGTATAGGTTCTGTTTCATTTTTCTACAGATAGACATTCGGTTTTGCCAGCACCATTTGTTAAAGAGACTGTCTCTTCCCTGTTTAATGGACTTTGGCCCTTTGTTGACACACAGATTTTCTGATGAAATATTATAGTAAATTTCCACAGGTTCATGAGTATTTTACTGAGATAACATCAAGTGCCAAGTTCCTCTGACAACTTACTCTTTCTTGCCGTTTGATTCTTATCGCAACCCCCCCTTTGCTATTAGTATTTATTACCATAGAGATCTCAGGCTGTATGTTTGTGCAAGTCCTCATCTCCAGCGTGGGTGGGGAGTGCTGGTTGGCAGAAGAAGCAAAGGCCCTGATGTGCAGTGTTGCCCGCTGAATAAACAGTGGAAACCCCAAGGGGTGTTTGAGGAGGGTTGTTTGTCCGTAAGTCTGTAGTAGCCCTTGACACATAAACATGTGGTCTAGGAGAAAAGAATGTGCTTGCTCTACAAATGCTTGTTCAAGACCAAGTCCCTACCCCCACTCCTCCTCTTCCCAACAGATTTACTCCAAACCAGCACTGTGAATAAATCACCTCCTACCACCTTCCCAACCATTGCCTACTCAGATGCCTCTCCAGGCTCAGGCATTAGAATAAAACAGAGACAGAGATGGGGGCAGGGGTGAGGGATAGGCTTAAAGTACAGGTCAAGGGGAGGAAGGATGAGTGGTGTTGAGTCACATTGTCTGGAATGCAAGGAGGGTTGGGCCTAGTTTTTACATGCTTCCCTGAGTTATAGAGGGAGTTGGTGCACAAAATCTTTTGTTCTAATGCAGGGGTGAGGGTTGTTAGAGTTTGAATGATGCCTGTGGAATTGGAAAGCAAGGGGTATGTGTAATACAGTTAGAAAGGAGATTCAGTGGGACAAGAGAGAGAGAGAAGGCAACTAGATGATACGATTTTGAGTATGGGTGTCTGGAAGAATGACGTCGTTGGAAGAAATGGTTGTCTGTTAAGGAAGCCAGTTTTGGGAGAAGGTTGAGCACTCATTCTAAGAGGCCCTGATCTTCAGGTGATGATGATACAACCCAGAGTAAATGCGAGTGAACATTTGGAAATGTGGGATTGGCACTCAGGGCCTGGGCCTGGACAGATGGATTTGTCCTTTTATTCATATTTATCAGACACCAGCCATAGGCCAGGCTCTGTGCTGGGGATGCAAATCAAAGACAACTCTGGCTCTTGGTCAAAGGAGGGATCTTAATCAGAGTCCTCTAATAGAGATAAAGGGATCAGTTTCCAAAGCACGGTGGGATAGAGCAGCATTCAAGGCAGTGGCTTTCAACTGGAGAACCTGGGCATGCTCATCTTACCCTTCACTGAGTGGACTGGGCCAATTTTGGATTCTTGTTGACCTTTTCTTTTTGCTACAAATGTTTATGAACCAAATTGATTGTGATTTATGTTCTGTATGTTGTATGGAAGATGTATAAAGCACAACCACATGCCAAGTTTTCTGGAACCTGTGACAGTGTTGTCTCTGGTATTTAAGAGAGGCTGATCAGGGCATTAAATAGTTCTTGTTAAACAGTCACACAAGACTGGGGGTGACCAGGTGAATAGCATGAAAACTGTGGTTGCTTTTGTGGACACTGAAATGCTTTTAAGAGACTAGGGTTGGGGCGGGGGGACCCTTATTTATTTATTTATTTTTGTCTCCATCCTTTACCACATGGCCCAAGTCCCTTTGCTTTAGATTCCATACCCATGGTTTCTCCTTTCTCTGGTCTCTTGTAGGATTCATTTGCAGGATCTCTATGGGTAACACTCATTCATATAATTGTTTCCTGATTTCAGTTTGGTTCCCCAACTAGAGTGTAAGTTCTCCAGGATTAGAAATCGTGCATTTTTATTCATTGGGAGTCTCCATTGTACCTAGCACAGTGTGGGAACACAGAGATGTTAGAAATGCTGTTTCGCTGAGGTCTTGGAACACAGATATTATAGTTACTTTTCAGCTGAAGCAGCTTTAGAAGAGTGATTGAATTACTCTCTTGGTAGGGTCACTGTCATTATCTGTCACAAATGTGCATTACTGCCTACATTCTGAGTTGTCAAGGGAAAAAAAAATGCTTCTAGAACACTCATAAGCTAAATAAGGAATCAAATGCCCTTTCACATTTATTTCAGGTGATCTCGCTGCCCTCCATTAATATATATTTATTAAACACCCACTCGGTGAATTTAGTGAGGGCTTGATGCTGTATTAGATGCTTGCAGAGGGATTACAGATTCTGTAGGAAACATAGGCCCTCCTATCAGAAATCCTCACGAGCTCAGCGTCTGCTAATGGCCCAGTTGCAGCATCTGGGCCTTAGTACTCGATGGGCATGGGAACACATTTCATCCCTGCTGGTGTCCCCATGGCTTGCCCTGCGTTGTCAGAACTAGCTTCCCCGGTTCCCTACTGCTGCATTGGATCAGGGCACGGGCACAGAAAGGGCAATGCAAGGGCCCTAGATAGGAAGAAGTTGAGCTGGCCAAGGCAGCAAGTTGAAGATTGGGAGTCAGGCAGGCAGGGTTCTAGTCCTGGCTCTGATAACTATCAGTGGGTTCTGGGACAAGGCTTTCTGCTTCAGTTTGAGGCTCCATTTCATGATATGTAAAATGGGGTGAAAATGCCCACCTCACAGGGCTATCATGAAATGTACCCGAGATGGTGAGTGAAACACTCCCCGCTGCTGCCACCACCACCAACACCTCCTTCACCCAGGCTCATGCCTGCTAATCTTCAGCACCTGCCTGCTGGTCTTGTTCCTTTCTTTCGACTCTCATGGCTACTGGATTGATTTTAAGCCCTGATCATTTCTTGTCACAGAAATCTTTTCATAATATTTTATTGTATGGTAATCTTTTAATTTTTTCCATTTTATAAATCTTTAAAAAATATTATAGGGTAATACATGCTTGTTATAAAAAATTTCTAATAATCAGAAGTCTATAGAGAAGAAAATATTCATCAGCTCCCCAAATTTTTCTCTCCTCCCTAGAGGTAGCTACCATTAACAGTTGGTACATACCTTTCTAGACCCTTTTTAGGTATTTATAAAACACCCACAGGCATTTTTTTTTTTTTTTTTTTTGCTATAAGTAGGATCATTGTGTACATATTATTCTGCAACTTGATTTTTTGCATTAGTTGAATTTATAAAAGACGCACACGGAAATTTTTTTAATAAAGTGAATTATTTTATACATTCTGTTTTGCAGTTTGCTGCTTATCTTAGTTCATAAACAACTGTCTTCTACTTCATCTTCTTGCTTCAATATTATACTTCTCCAGGCCATCCTCCATCAAGCTTCCAGAATGGTTTTCCTAAAACCCAAATGGGGAACCATTGACCATCGGATAAAGTACAGCATCCTTAATATGACAGTTCAAATCTCTCCACCATCTATCTGGCCTCTGCTGACTTCTCCTATTTTATGGGAGTATTTTTTAGATTTTTTGTTAGCAGTAGAAACTTTTTGTCCCCTGAACAAAACTGGTATAAAACCACAATGTATAAAATTGATAAATGTGGGGCTCCCTAGGTTCATGTGCATATGTAAGGCTCTCGACCCCAGCCTGCTCAGGCTCCTCCTTTTCCCTTCCCTCTCCTCCGACCTCCATTGTCTGTCCTGCTCCTTATTCTGTTTTGGGGCATGTTGGTCCTTCTTGAGATCAGCCTCTGAAAGTCAGATGCATTCAAGCCTTCTCAATTTCTCTTTATTCATTATAAGCCTGCAACCCAATGCATTTTTTAAACTATGGGAAACTTTTTGCTTATCTTCTTTCCTAGAGGAACTGAGTTTCATGCATATATGGACTTTTTGATGATGTGTCCTGAAGGATTCCTCTCAGGTTCTAGGTGTCCTCTCTTAGACATGGAGATTTGGAGAGCTGGCTTGTGTTCACTCTTGCTGCTTCTCTGTCTTCTTTATGGTGAATACACCAAGAATTCTCCTATTGTTGACCTTTTCTCTTTGCATTGGGGTTATTGTTATATTTAGGTCTTCATGACCCTGAAAGACTGTGAAGGCCTTAAGGACTGTGTAGTAACCAGGTGGGTTATCCCAATATCTAGACGGTATCTGATGCACAGTCAATAAACTGTTTAATGAATTCATCCCTGGAATACATAGGAAGGTCTAACAGTTTCCTTTGAGATGAGGGCAAGGAGGAGATGTAGTTATTCCATCTGCAGGAGATATGAAGCCCATGATTTACTATCAGTCCAGCCATGAAGGTGGTACCAGGGCTGGAAGCAGATGAGGATGGTCAGTATCCTTTCTTGCTGAACCACAGCCTGGATACCTCTGCTCCTCTGCATGGGCCTAAACAACGAAGTCCCAGAATGGGGGAAAGCTGAGAGGCGCTCTGTCTTGCTTAGTTCATACCAGTGGTAGGTTTGGGCATATCGAGTTTGGTGACCACTGGAATGACCACCAAAAAACCACACTGGGGTCATTTTAGATTCAATGCTGGTCATCTAAGAAACTCAGAAAAAAAATCAAGACATAACTCACAAGCTGAATTTTGTGGCTTTTGTGGATATATTTATTTATATTTTTCAAAAGCAGTAGGTCTACAGCCCTAAGATACTCAGAATGACATTCTTTGCTTCCTTTGACCACAAAAGCCACACATCTGCATCATTACCAGGAGGCTGTGTTGGGAAGATTATGATCTTCTTACTAATTTAAAAAAAAAAAAAAAAAGCAAAAAACCAAGAACTCAGATGTTGGTTGCAGTACATAGACTGATTAAACTCTTCAACTCTTTCTAAAGGATTTCAGCTTTTTCCTCAGGCTGTCTCCTTGTTAATTGTCAAGAGCATTTGTCAACTCATTGGTCAACTCAAATGCTCTGCTAAGTGATGTCTGTGATGATATCTAGGCTCTCCATTTTTTATATTTCTTAAGGCGTTCTCTTTTTCTTTTTTTCCTTTTGCAATATGGAATGTTTGGCCGGCTGTTATCTTCTCCAGTGATTTGGAGAAGATATTCTGTCCGTCTTGGTGGAGCAAATGGTTAAGCACTTGGCTGTTAATCGAAGGGTTGGCAGTTCAAACCCACCCAGCCAGCTCCACGGGAGAAAGGCCTGGCAATCTGCTTCTGTAAAGATTACATCCAAGACCGTATGGGGCAGTTTTACTCTGTCACATGGGGTCACTATGGGTCAGAATCAACTCAGTGGCACCCAACAACAACATTCTGTCTTAAATTCTGCTAATTGTTTATCTCTAAGATTTTCTTAAGATTGAAGACACAGGTTCATTGGTTTTTTACTGCATTGAGATATTCTTTCTAATTATTTCTACACACTCTGCCCCGTAACTCAGTGGTATGTGTCTCTGTCCATTCCCTGCAAGGTCCAGGCTGCCTTTGGACAGTGGCACAGATTGTACAGTGCAGGCCTGCCTGCCGCTAGATTAGATTTTGCTAATGGGTCAAGGTACATTTTCCCACTGAGCTGGAGCTTGGTCTCACTCAGAACTTGAGGCGGCCACTACCATTTCATTGGAGTTGGCACTTGAGGTGAAACCATTCCTGGTCTAGCTCTTTTCCCACATACATTATCTCGCTTAATATGTAAGTGTTCTCACTTCTAGGCATATAATTTGGCAACTATTTGGAAATATTCTCCTTCTTGTCCTCTTTGGAGTCCTGGTGGTACAGGGGTTAAGAGCTTGGCTGCTAACCAAAAGGTGGGCAGTTTGAATCCACCAGCAGTTCCTTGGAAACTCTGGGGGCAGTTTTACTCTGTCCTATAGGGTTGCTATGAGTCAGAATCAATTCAACAGCAACGAGTGTTTTTGGTTTGTCTGCTTTGCCTGACTAGCTATGCCAGTGGAATGGAAAGGAATGACTGAGAACCTTCAAGAACTGTGTCTCCTTGCTTTTCACAGCTTCTGACTCTTAGGGGCATTCAGCACACAACAATAATAGTCATTTAGTACGTCTCTGGGTGGCACAAATGGTTAAACACTTGACTACTAGCTGAAAGGTTGGCAGTTCAAACCCACCCAGAGGCACCTCGCTAGAAAGGCCTGGCAGTTTTTTCTGGAAGGTTACAGCCTTGAAAACTTTATGGAGGAGTTCTACTCTACACATATGCAGCATTAACTCGATGACAACCAACAACAAGTCATTTGGGGGTGGAATTCAGCCATATTTCCTGAGTTGCAAGGGTGCACTGGGAGCAAGTCAGGGCATGTTCAGAAACTTCGAGATCTGGAACAAAGTCTTACTCATCTTTATTAGATCCAGCTCTCAGCATAATGGTGGCATCTAGCATTTAATAACTATTTGATTAATTAATAAGTTAATAATTGAAGTATCACTGTACCCTGGGTGGCACAAATGGTTAGGTGCTGAACTACTAGCCAAAAGGTTGGTGGTTCGAACCCACCCAGAGGTGCCTGGGAAGACAGGCTTGGCATCTGCTTCCTAAAGATCACAGCCTTGAAAACGCTATGGAGCAGTTCTACTCTGCACACATGGGGTTGCCGTGAGTTGGAACTGACTGGGTGCTAACTAACAACAGCAAGTTGCCTAATTTCTATGGCTGTAAGTAGCCAGGGAGTGAAATGTACAAGAGTGATGAGGTTCCCATTAGTTGGTTAGTGGGGCTGCTTTCAAAGTAGTTTTTTTGTTAGCTTGTTTTGGTAACATTTCTGAACTTTTCCTAAATCTGCAATGTATTTCCAACATTTACAAATACCCAGAGCCTCTTGTGTACTCATAGACTAAGAAAAATTAGGCCTCTTGGGTAGGAATATATCCCTTTATCACTAGCTTACTCTCCATTACCTTTGCATATTTCCCATGTAGCCTTGAGCCACATTCACAATTGGATCCACATTCGCAATGGAATAACTTCTCTTCAGCTAATTGGTGAATCCTAGAAATTTCAAGGGATTTGTCAATTACACATGGGAGAGTCAAACAGAACCTTGTTTTATGTATTTTTAAACATGATGCAAAATATCCTTTTGAAATTATCATCCTTCTCTGCCCTAGTTTAGGGTCAATATCTTGGGGCACCTTTCAAGGCATGGTTCTTATAAGCAAAAGCTTGTTTTGAGTTTAACAATTCCTAGCTCTGGGCCCAATCCTTGAGACTTCAGCAATGTACAGCAACCAGTCAAGGAAATAAGCGTATGGTGCTAAGTGTCTAGAAGCCACTTCAAATGCCTGTTTTGAGAACCTTGTTACAGTCTGTTTAAATGTAGTTTTTCAGAAATAGGTTTTTAATGGTTATCTTCTGAATAGCTTGGATTTGCAACTGAAGAGGAAAGCAGCTTTTTTTTTTTTTAAAGGTAGATTATATCAGAGGGGGGAAAAGTTGTATCTTATTCTGTGTGATGGTTGCTATGGTGATGATTGAATGTAAATTTAAGTTTATGTAAAACCCTGCTAAGGTTTTGATTAGACATCAGAGGAAAGGCTTGGTGTCAGTTGGTGAAGTGGCTAAAAAGCATCTACTAACGGGGGAAAAAAGGATGATGGGGTCACACAGCACCCCTCCCCCAGGTATTCATGTGGACACAGACTGATCTGGAGGATGAGGCAGTATGAATAAGAGCAAGGAATGAAGAAAGGGTGCTTCTCTTCTCCCGCGCGATTTCCTCCTTGAGGAGAGGCAGCTCCTGCAAAGGTGAACTCCCACGTGCCAGTTTCACTGGGTTTTAAGTAGGTTTTAGGTTTAGGGGAAAGGAGATTCAAACATCAGATGCGGGAGCTGAGATAAGTGACCTATATAGCACCTCCGACCACGATTTCTGGCCTTTGAGTCCTTGCTCTTACCGGTAAGAAGTGGGGCGGGCCGGAGAACTAACTGCAGAGGGGTTGTAACATCAAGTTACCCTAAAGCTTCAAGAACTAGAACTGTAAACCCACCTGGAGAATGGGCTTTTGCCTCTTAAAGATAAGTGAAGTGATTTAATCTAAGATGGAACAGTTAAGGATCTGTGAGTAACTGATCTGATTATGAACTGGTTTTTTTCTAACTCTTGTTCTTTAGTACTACCTACTTAATTCTTTAGTATTTATGTGTAGCTGCTCCAATAGTATATCCCCACCTCTGTGTGTGTATGTGTATGTATGTGTGTGTGTATTCTTACCCTATTAAAAAAAACATACACACACATATAATCATGTTTTTTTATTTTATTTTTTCTATAGGGTGAGAGTGGGAAATATATCAATAGCTTTGCATTAACCACATCTATAGAAACCCAGATCTTCAGCCTCTGGGCAAAATCTCAAGCTATCACTGCCCCACCTGGCTAATCGCAGACCAAAATAACGAAGACGGGCATAGTCAATCTGTGATTTGGGAACTCAGGATAATTTTTAGTATCTCAGATGCAGTTGCTCCTACCCGTGTCCTAAGTAAAATTGGGAAGTAACTGAATTGCCTTTTGATAACCTTCTAGCTCTTTTTCCTTTAGCTTTCTCTCTTACGACTCGTCTTCTGCTTGGCAGCGCTTTGATTCAGCACCTTGATGTCCAATCGCTCACCCTAATGGAGCCCTCTTTGTGCTCAGCTAGAGGTACCCTCGTCTCCAGAATGATCTTCCTATTCAACACCCTCCCAAACTTAGTCAAAATCCTCTTTCTGAAATGGCTGGTCTCAGTATAACATAAGAAGGTAGTTGGATTCGTGGTCATTCATTAATGGTCATCCTCGAAGGATTGTCTAGTGGGGTGTCACAGGTTTTGGTCTTAGACCTTTCTGTCCAATAGTTCTCTGACTTTGAGGGATACAGAAGTCAGACATCAGACTGTAGATGGATAACATTTTTAAGGTGACTGAGTAGTTATTATATTGAGTGGCAGAAGCATTATTCAAAATTATCTTGATCTAGTTCAACAGGGATGATTCTAAGTTCTGCTTGTAGGTCCCTAAAAGCAATTGAACTAGTGCAGCAGGATGGCAGAAATCCAGATTGGCATTAGCTTGTGGAAATGGACAGCAGGATTTACAGTTGACTGCTTGTTTAATAAAAAACTAACAGTGTGATATTGCCAGTAAAAGCTATTATGATATTAAGCTACATTAATAAAAGTACAGCTCCCAAGTCCTAGAATATTATAATTTCACTATGTTCTACCAAGAATGATGTTCCATTCTGGGCACTATCTTTTTAGGAGGAAACTGACCAACTGGATTATATCCAGAGAAGGACAACCAGGGAGTCTGGGAACATATGGTATGAGCCATTTTGTGAAAGGGTTGTCACTGTGTTCCGAGTTGCAGGGTAAGGGAGAACTCTATTTAAAGTGGAGTTCCTGGGGCAGGGGCAGGAGTGATGCATGTTATGGTGAAGTTCCAATATCTTCTCCATCCTGGATGATTAGTGGAAGTCAGTGAGTGCATGGCATTCCACTGATGGCTGTTAATTGAGATATAAGTGGGAATAGTCAGAGTGAAGGGAAGAGTTTACATTCATGCTTGGGGGAATATTTTTCTCTTTCTCCTCTGGACCTTGTTGTGTCTCAGGTGAAGCTTGCAGCTGCCACAGCTCTCTTGCCACCAGCCTGAGAATGAAGGTCATGCTGAAGATGACAGAATAGAGAAATGGGAAGAACCTGAGTCCTTGATGATGCCGCTGAACCTGTTATATCAGGCAATCCCCAAACTTGCCCAACTTCAGGACTTGCTGTTCTAAGAGACAAATGTCTTTATTTATTTTTTAAATTTTATTGTAGTACTAAAGTGAAAGTTTACAATTCAAGTTAGCCTCTCATACAAAAATTTATACATACATTTTTATATGACCCTAGTTGCTCTCCCTATACAGTGACAACACACTCCTCCTTTCCACCCTAATTTCCCATGTCCATTCAACCAGCTGCTGACCCTCTTTGCCTTCTCGTCTCACCTCCAGACAGGAGCTGCCCATTTAGTCACAGGTATCTACTTGAGCTAAGGAGCACACTCTTCATGAGTATCGTTTTAGAGATAAATGTCTTTATTATTTAAAGCACTTTGAGTTGGGATTTCTCTGGCAGTAGGATGCATTTTAGCAGATTCTGCAGGGTTGGGCTGAAGATAAGGATGGACTTTCACAGGTAATTCTAAATGCCCATCAGTGGAGTGGACTCTTTCAAGAAGGGAGCTCTCCTCATTGTAAGTGTTCAAATAGAGGTTGACCATGATTTAAAAAAAAAATCCTTTATGGAGTGGAATTTTGCTCTAAATAATTCTTAAACCCTGATAATCTATGATGCAAAAATTCTCACTAAGGTGTGAATTACCACGAAGCTGAACCTTCCCCCAGAGCATTTGCATTATCCACAGTGTGATAACTCAGATGAAACTTTTATTAGTAGAATGTGGAGGTGGGGGAGGTTTTTGTACATGAGAACCTTCCAGGTGCTCCTTGCCCAGTTCATATGATTGGGCCACTCTCTTCTTCCCCTTACTGTGTCTTGGTCTTGTGTCTGTGTCTTGGTGCCCCTACTTTTGGAAGGTTGCTGAACCCTGACCAGAGAGAAAATAAACCATATTGTGACTGCCGGATTTGCAAAACTCAACCAACGGACTGCTATGTCATGGAGAAGAAAAGTGAAAAAGGGCAGGGTCTTGTGGACTATTAGTGGGAAGGACACAGAGGCTGGGGGTGTGGGACGGTTGGTGGCAGAGTGGTAGACAAAAGGTTCCTAGGATTAAAGGGAGGCAGTTTGCAACCTGTTTTAACCCCTGCTCCTTTTTCAAAAAATTTTATTTTGTTGACTCTCTGTTAACCCAGAACTAAAACCATTCCCGAAGCCAACTCTTCAGACAAGGATTAGACTGAACTATAAAACATAAAATGATACTCGTGAAGAGTGTGCTTCTTAGTTCAAGTAGATACATGAGACTAAATGGGCAGCTCCTATCCAGAGGTGGGATGAGAAGGCAGAAAGGGACAGGAGCTGGTTGAATGGACACGGGAAACCCGGGGTGGAAAGGCAGAGTGTGCTTTCACACTATATGGATTGCAACTAGGGTCACATAACATTATGTGTATAAATTTTTGTATGAGAAATTAACTTGAGCTGTAAACCTTCACCTAAAGCACAATAAAGAAAATTATTTTGTTGTTGTTGAGAATATACACAGCAAAACATATACCAGTTCAACCATTTCTACATGTACAATTCAGTGACATAGATTCCATTCTTCGAGTTGTGCAGCCGTTCTCATCCTCCTTTCCTGAGTTGTTCCTCCTCCATTGATAGAAATTCACTGCCCCCTAAGGTTCTTATCTAATCTTTTGAGTTGCTGTTGCCACTTTGAGCCCATGTAGATAGTTCTTAAAAGAACATAAAGTTCAAGGCAGATATTTTTTACTAGTTAAGTTAAACTATTGTTTGGTTTTAAGAAGACTTCAGGGGATATTTTTGGTTTCAGGTTTAAAGGTTATCTCAGGGCAATAGTTTCAGGGGTTCAGAAAGTTTGGAGTCCGTTAGAATTTGAAATCTTGTTGCACATTTTCCCCGTTTTGATTAGGGTTCTTCTATAGAATTTTTGATCGAAATGTTTAGTAATGGTAGCTGGGCACCATCCAATTCTGGTCTCATGGCAAAGGAGGCAATTAGCCACACATTCTATATCCTCCTCCTATTCCTGACTCTCCTTCTTCCTCTGTTGCTCCAGATGAATAGAGACCAATTATTGTATCTTGATGGCTGATTGCAAGCTTTTAACCATGCTCCTGTTTGACAAACTTCCCCCTTCTGTGGTTCATACTATAAAAATTGTATTTTTCATTATAAAATATAAAGTTACAATATAATATCACTGTGCTTTTGAAAGCTACACAATCCCTCCATTCTAATTCATCACTCCAGCAGGACCTTTCTAAACATTCCCACCTCCCCGCTGAGAAGCTGAGAACCACTGGAATAGATTTTCTTTATCCTGATTCCGGTGTTGATTAGGTTTTTAGTTGTTCCTATAATTTTATATAAAATAATGGTGAAAATGATATTTTGGCCTCAAGCTCATGACTCAGAACCAGAAAGTGTGCTCTTGTGCCATGTATGTTGTACTACACATAGCCAAGTGGGGCTTGTTGGAGAGAAATGTTTACACAAGGCCAAAGGAGCTGCATGTTGGTACTTCTTGTTGTTAGTTGCCATCAAGTTGATTTTGACTCATAGTGACCCCATGTGACAGTGTAGAACTGTCCCATAGGGTTTCTAGGCTGTAATCTTTATAGAAGCAGATCGCCAGGTCTTTCTCCCATGGAGCCACTTGTGGGTTCAAGCTGCCAACCTTTTGCTTAGCAGCAGAGTGCTTAACTGTTTTGCTACCAGGGCTCCTTAGTGAACATTTAGTTAGCAAGACCAGTGAACTTGCAGTGTGTCAGGGCTGGAAAGCATCCCAGAAATCAAATTGTATTGTTCACCCTGTGTTAATACAGAGAATATAGAGGAGGTTACCTGGGCGCTGGGAGGGGAAGAGACTTACCCGGCTGAGTGGTTAATGGCAAGTAATGAATAGTTGACGTTAGGGTAGGAGTGTGAGTATGCCCAGGTTTTACTTTGGGGCATAATTTTTGGAGAATTTGGATTTGTAAGAAGAACAACATGATTGTTTTTTAAATTAATGCGGGAGCTAAATGTAAACAAGAGGCAAATAGAGGTGGTGTGGAGAGGCTAATGACTAAGCTTGTAAATATTTTTATGCGTAATGGGGACAGAATATGACTCAACTAGTATTTCTCTGCCCCGGACACTAGGTATATCTTGTGACAGTTTGTCCAGTACTTCTCTTGTCTTGGCTTGGAGGGCTAGTGGCAAAAAAGAAGCCGTA